TGACTGATGAGCTGAATCATGTGGAGTGGTGTGGGCTATGGTAGACAGGATCTAGCCCTGCTAACCCCCGCCATCCTCTTGCAGGAGAGCATTCCCTTTGCTGTCATTGGCAGCCACACGGTGGGCAAAACGAAGTCTTGGAGGAGTTGCCAACATAGCCCAGAGCCCCAGGTGACGGGCTGTGCTTCCCTCTGCAGTTCACTTCCCACAGCACTTTTCCACGCACTCCTAATCACGTCCCGTTTGTCACCACTGAAGCAATAGCCCCACTTAGACTCACTGCCAGCAACCTGGACTGCTGGCTTATTACCTCCTCTTGTTCTCGTGATCACTTCCCAAAGCCTGGTCGTCCTCCTGCTGCAAGAGCCTCTTTCTGTACTCCTTGATGGCACTGAGCACCGTCTCTTTGGTGCAGGGGTCTCGGCTGCTTTTGTTCCTGGCTAAGATCTGTCATGTCAGGCTTTGGGGCAAAGCAAAGCAGTGCAGGGTTTCCTCAGTGAGGCCAAAGCCCCTGCGGGGGTTCTGTGCCAGGTGGGGGGATCCCTGCTGCTGTGGAGCCATCCCCAGCACCGATGGGCAGCTGGCAGCGTGCTGCAGGCAGCGTCGAAGACCTGGAGGAGCCCGGCTGGGCAGGAAGAGGGGCAGCAGCCCCCCAGGAGTAGCACGGGGCTCTGCCACCCTCCCAGACACCCAGAATGTCCCATCCCTGGGACTCTTCCCATCCTCACCTTCAGTGTTCAGCAGCTTGCGGTCTCTGTACATGTCCATCGGGAAGAGGCCGTTGATCAGGGTGGACTTGAGCAACCCAGATTCCCCTGGGAAAGTGGAACAAGGGTAGGGGGGGCTGCGATGTGCTGCTGCACACTCAGGGGCTGAGGCCAAGAGAAGATCCTGGTGTACCTCTCGATTATGTCAGGGACCTGCCAGACCACCGGGGTGGCCAGGCTCCTGCCAGCTCTCCGAGGACTCCACCTTCCTGGGGCTGCCAAAACTGGTGGGCAATCCTGCAGGAGCTGGCTCAGCTCATCCTCCTCAGATTCCTTGGTGGCTGTGCCATTGCCACCCCATTACAGCCCCCCTGCCCCCCAGCCCCAACTGGCCCCAGAGCCCCTGGAGGCAGCTGGACCCTGATGACTCCTCTGAGGTGCGGGACGCATCTGTGGGGAGGAGGGGACAAAGGGCTGCAGGAGTCACAGCGGAGGACATCCTCACCCTTCACACCCAAAGGGTTTGAGCAGGCATGGTGGTTTAAGCCCAGCTCTAGCAGCACAGAGCTCTGTTCCTACAGGGAATACTGTCCTTAATTTTAGCTGTAATAATGTTTTTACCACTAAATTTTAAGGATGATCTACCAACTGATTGGATTTGTGTTATTATCTCTTGCCTTGACAATACTACTGTTCCCCTTGATTTGTAATCAAAAGGACACAGAATGGCCAAGGTCCCAAGCTTACATTAGATAAACCAGAAATACAATACCAGAGCAACAAGGCTCTGAACTTGGCTACTGTGGCTGCGCATGGAACTGAAGTATACTCTGAACATACGGGATTGGGATAGGAAAAATTGGGTTCCCCTCTTGTTTGGGACAGTGTCATGGTTCAAGCTCAGCTGGCAACCTGGAACCACGCAGCCGCTCGCTCACTCTCCCCCCACACACTTCCTTCCTCGGCCCGCTCCCAGAGGGATGGGGAGGAGAATCGGAGCAATGTAACTCCCACAGGTTGAGATAACAGCAGTTCAGTAACTAAGGTATAATACAAACCACTACTGCTACCAATAATAATGATAAGAGGAATAACAAGGGGAGAGGACACAACCTCTCACCACCCGCTGACCAATACCCAGACTGACCCGAGCAGCGATCTGGGCCTTCCAGGTGACTCCCCCCAGTTTCTGTACTGGACATGACATGCTGTGGTATGGAATACCCCTTTGGCCAGTTTAGGTCAGGTGTCCTGTCTCTGCTTCCTCTCAGCTTCCCCTCCTCCCTGGCAGAGCATGAGACTGAGAAAGTCCTTGGTCGGAGTAAACACTACTTAGCAACAACTAAAAACATCAGTGTTATCAGCGTTGTTCCCAGGCTGAAAGTCAAAACCACAGCACTGCACCAGCTACTAAGAAGGAGAAAAAATGACTGCTGTAGCTGAACTCAGGACAGACAGTCGGAGAAAAAATCCAGATAGGATGTAGAATGATCAACAGATATACACACAAGAGAGCCACTCAGATCACAGTGACCGATAGTGTACCAGGCCCAAGGGAAACAGATCCTAAACTCTGTACCTCTGAGTGATTGGGTTGTTGGTACAATTTTACCTTGTTTAAACCTGGTTTTGTAGTTTTGCTCTGGCCTCACCATAGTATGGGACTATCATTCAAATTTAAAACACACATTATTGAGCCTAGTACAACATCATCCACTCCTGGTACGACTAATACAACATCAGCCACTCCTGGTACAATCAGTACAACATCATTCACTCCTGGTACAACTAATACAACATCAACCACTCCTGGTACAATTAGTACAACATCATCCACTCCTGATACAACTAGTACGACATCATCCACTCCTGGTACAATTAGTACATCATCTCCCCAGTTATAAAGAATAAGAAAACTCTAGCCACACAAATTTCTGAAATTGGACCATATGTGATTAAAAACACAGGCCAACAACAAATGTTGTTTAACCTGTTATAATCTCTCAAATGAGTTGAATTGTCAGTGCAAAATAACATTTCTGCAACCCAACCAGCTTGTTCACCGTTTTTGAGAACTTCTTATGAGGGATGGACAACCTGGTTGCATAAACAAACCCTCTTTTCTCAAAAGCAAGCAAAAAGAGATGTGACTGGTATTTTGGGAACAGGATTGGGGGTTCTAAATAGCACAGACTCCAAGGTATTAATGAACAAACTAACCATGATAACCACTGATTTGAACAAATTGAGACATCCTCTAGGATCTTTCCTTTTGGCTCTGGGAACGAACCAATGGCTTCTATCAGATATATTACCTCAGTGGGGAAAAAGAAATGAAAAAGACCATCAGGTGATCATAGACGCACTTGGTGTAGTCCAAAACAATGTCATTTAGCTCTCAGTTGTATCCAAGCTCAACTATGGATGTAATCAATGTCAGCTTCAATTATAAGAGAAAATGAAGAAGGTACCTTACCCACCAAGATCCGGAAAGTGATTTGAGATAACACAGTTGAATTTAAAAAGAAATTCCAGTCCTGGTGGTATTTAGTCAATTTAACCTGTGACCCTATTGACAGCATGGCCACAGCTTTTTTTTGATTATACACAGTGTTTTCGTATATACCATATACGCAATCATTGAGTTAGGATTAAACCATAACAGGACTATACTCTATCCCCTGGAGCAGAGAGTAGGACCTTTCCAGGATGGAAATAAATGTCAAACTATTGATGTTGATGCATGTGTTGTGTGAGAGCAACAGGGATTCATTTGTGAAAGTAGGACCATCAGAGCTCAAGACTTTTGTCTTGACAGTGAATGGAACATCTGCCATTTCGAAATACATCCTAATGAAAACCCAGAAACTATTTGTGTACACTGGAAAAGGATGTGCCTGCATGAGAACTTCTTGTGACCTTATGCATGTAGATAACTTTACTGTAGATACAAGTAATCACTCTAACATTTATGTTTGTAATTTTGTTGAGATTACAGAATTTCACTTATTCAGCTCCTTTCACGTCTTATCAATTGTTACAATCCAACTACACACTGATCCAAGTTGCTGCCTACCCCAATTGGAATGAATCTTACCTTGATAAGAAAGCTGTTACAACACGAAGACCTGAGATGATTGCTCAAGCAAGCTCAAGGAAATGGACAAAAAGCTTTGATTACTGTCCATCATGATGCGGAGGAAACACATTGTGTTTTGGAATGGGTCAAGAAGGACAGAGAACATTGATAGTGGAACACTCTTTTTGGATGGTCACTAACAGCTACAAGAACAATAAACAGAATGCTTCATCCTGTTGCTATTCTATTGACATTAACTCTTCTGCTTTTTAGCCTGATGATCACAATATATGTAAAAATCCAGGGTATAATGAAGCAATTATCCTACTTGCTTTCTCTATTTAACATGCATATGCTTGACATTCCCAATATATAGAATCATAGAATGGTTTGAGTTGGAAAGGACCTTAAAATCATCCAGTTCCAACCCCTGCCACGGGCAGGGACACCTCACAATAGAACATGTTGCCCAAGGCTCTGTCCAACCTGGCCTTGAACACTCCCAGGGATGGGGCAGCCACAGCTTCTCTGGGCACCCTGTGCCAGCACCTCAGCACCCTCGGGGAAGAACTTCTTCCTTATATCTAACCTGAACTTCCCCTGTTTAAGTTTAAACCCATTGCGCCTTGTCCTGTCACTACAGTCCCTGATGAAGGTCCCTCCCCAGCATCCTTGTAGCCCCCTTCAGACACTGGAAGCTGCTATGAGGTCTCCACGCAGCCTTCTCTTCTCCAGGCTGAACAGCCCCAGTGTTCTCAGCCTGTCTTCATACGGGAGGTGCTCCAGTCCTCTTATCATCCTCGTGGCCTCCTCTGGACTTGCTCCAACAGCTCCATGTCCTTTTTATGTTGAGGACACCAGAACTGTACACAGTGCTGCAAGTAGGGTATCATAAGAGCAGAGTAGAGGGGCAGGATCACCTCCTTTGACCTGCTGCTCACACTCCTTTTGATGCAGCCCAGGATACGGTCTGTTTCAGCACACTGAAGCCAGGTCACGTTCAGTTTCAGAAAAAACATCAACCAATACCCCCAAGTCCTCCACAGGGCTGCTCTGAATCATTTCTCCGCCCAACCTGTAGCCATGTCTGGGATTGCCCTGACCCAGGTTACAATATGTATACATGCTTGATACTCCATGTGATACTAACACCTAAAAGCCCTCATATGAAGCTTGAGTAAATATAGTCACAGGGTGGATTATGTGGGAAAATGGAGGAAATTTTCCTCCTCCCAGACCCCAAAGTTATAACACTAACGAAATCTTAGGGTAAGATGCAGCTGCTGCTCCCAGGGTGGGATGCAGTTGGCATGTACAGAAACTACCCCGTGATAGTTCCCCAGGCAACCCTGCAACCTCGGCATATGCTGAGAGACACTGGCCTGAGGGGGGAGTTGAGCCAAGGTCCCATGGCCAGACTCTGTTATATTCCCTGCAGAAGTGGGACTTGAAGGCACCATGTCCTGATAAACTGCACGGCATCTGCCAAACAAGGAAACTAGATTTGCATTTGTAAAAGTAAAGCAAGAGGATTTTACACCCATCAGTAACAAAGTGTGTATGAATAGGGTAACTCCAGCTCCATAGGCATAGAGTTAAAACATTGAAACTAAGGAAAAACGTGGACAGATCCAAGGGCCTCCAACAAGGTCAGGATGAACAACACTGACAAAGAAAGAAGTGATAGCAGGAGAGAAGGCTTTGTCCTTGTGTAGGCAGATTAAGAAACAGAGCTAAAGAATCGCTAATCAGGAAAGACTATCCTTGAAGCCTGGTACATCCTGGAAGCACATGGATATAGTCAACATACAGCTTCACACGTCAGCAAAACATAATTAGGGTGTCCTTTCAATGGAAATGATGTTATCTTACGGAAATTCACTGAGCACTCTGTACATGCTGGGAGGCTTACAGGGAGTTACTAACCTGAATTGAATTGTGTAAATATGTGAAATTAGGGAAGTGGGAAAGACTCAATCATAACTCCTGGGATCGGTCAACAGGCTGAACTTCTCTCTCCTATTGGGTA